AAATTCATCGCTTCTATTTGCACCGGCGTCCGACGACGAATCGTCCGTTCTCACGCGACCGCGGCGACTTTCGTTTTTTTCAGCGACTCTGACGACGACGCGCTTCCCGGTGGTCGACTAATACGTTCGCGTGACGCGAACTTTCAGTCTGAGCGGCCGGTCATTCGGCCGGGATGGCCAACTCTCTCGATCAACCAATTGCAAGATATCGATTCTAGAAAATCGGGACTTTTGATCAGATATAAACAAATTGAAAGTAGATTCTATTGTATTTAATATAACCATTAATTCATACATGAAAACATATTGATAAAATTAAAGGGAGAATCAGTGGAGCATCAAATACATAAATATGCGTTTGGACAATTCAATAATTCCAATAAAAGAAAGTAAGATTCGTTTAATTAAATAGAAACTAAAGTAGCCCAATGGGTGTTGTCGTCGGGACGCCTTTAGATGCTGATCGCACACGGCTTTCATTCTGACACCAGTTGGCACTCGCGCAGTTTAAAAAGGTTAATGAATTTCAATGCAATTTACCATCGTACTTTGTATGATTTATTTTCCGTTGAGTGAAAATTCGGGACAGATGGCGGTCAGGGCGGTTCCGCCGGGACGAAAATCAGAGGCCGGTTGGTCAGCGTACGCTCGGCCGAGGAATCCCGAGAGCGCGCTCGCGCGAAATAAACGCGCCCGATTACGATTCGCCGCGGCCGACCTTGCGGACTTGTAAAAGTGCATAATCGCGCGCCTCGCATCAAGCTGCGGAGCGTGGCAGCGAGAGAGCGTTTCCCTTGATCTTGGCGCGTACGCGCGATTACGCTCGGGGGAGCTTTGTTTTCTCCCGCGCCGGAGCAACGAGCGCAGCCACACCCTGGGCTCCTCGCCACGTACACGAGCCTTTCGCGCGCGTACGCGCTCTCGCACACACCGCTGGTAATAATTGTTCGCGCACTCGCGTCGAAAATAGCGGCCTTGTCCTTGCGAGGCCGCGCAAGGCCGCGCGCAACGCCGCGCCGTGGGAAGATCGCGGCGATCTCCTCGCGCGCCGATGGACCCTCCGGCTCGCCTTGACTGATCCTTTCCACAGATTAGTCCGCGTCTCCCCCCCCCTCACCCCCTCTCCCGCTAACTAAACGCGCCCGCGGTAAATATAGAATTAAATGGACCGGCGCGCGTCGCCACCGACGGTATTAATAAACCCGGCGTTTCGCATACGCATCGCGCGTTCCTGCCCTTACGCCGCGCCGTATCGCGCCGTAACATCGAGGCCCAGGAGCGCGTCGCCGTAACTTCGGCCTCGTTAGATGGCACTCGTCCGCCGGGATTCGCCGTGGGACCCGGCTCCGGTAAATCGGGATAATTGCCGGTCTGGGAATTCGGTGTAAGAACGAGATCGGGGACTCGGCAAAAACGGCGGGTAATTAACGGGATTGCGGAAAATCGGAGGATGTGCCGGATCGAGGTGAAAAATAGGAGCCCCCCCTCGCGCGGAATAGTAGCCGCTTCTTGACGAGGATCAGCGGAGAGGAGCGGGTTGAACGCGGATGTGAGTCGGCAAACGAGTTTGAGATCTGACTTGAGCTGTCTAACTTCGGCAGAAGTTCGACGTCGTTTCGGAGATAACCCGCGCATACGCCCGTATTTTCCCCGTCGTTGCGGAAGGATTGTTCGTTAAATCGGCCGCGTAATTAGCCTCGCGAGGGACGAATTATGAGACGGCTCGTTTAAAGTGTAAGATAAAAGTCGCGCGAGAGCTTCTGCGAGAGCGCGATGCAGAAGTAACTGGATTCGATTTAAATATCGGGCCGCATTTTGCGCGCCGGGAGGAGGGAGGACTCGCTCGGCAAGCCGCCGGGGAAACGTAACACAGGTTGCGGTGATCGCGAGGTGTTACGGCAACGAGATACGCTCGCCACTTTGTGGCGCGACTTTTTCAGGATCTCTCGCCATTTCTTCGATCTTGTTAGCAGCCTCGAAATGGCATCCCCCCCCCCCCCNGCTTGGCTGCGCGCGCGATATTCCGCGCGATTTTTGCGAAATCTCGCTGGGTCGATCGCGCGCGGCGCAGCACATATCATCTGTCCGGCTATTAGCGAAATATTTGTTCGTTAATTCGCGTTATACGAGAGAGGAGGAGAGGGATAGAGAAGGAGATTACCGTAATCTACCCGCCGGTAGATCCGATGCTATCGCGAACGGTAATACGGATTCTCCGCGCCGTATTTCGCGAATATCGTACGCGGCACCGTTACATCCTAGAACGCAACGATGTAAATTACAGCGATACAGTCTTCGCCGGCGAAACTCCCAGAATTCACGCGGAAATTCGCGCGCGCGCGCGTGTTTGCGGTTCTTCGCCGAAATCCGACGGCGACGATGATGACGACGATAATGTGACGATGGTTGGAACGAAGATACTATGCGTACGCTCTATGGGACATTGCGTATTCGCGTTGCGTAACGCTCTCGCGATTTAACGGTCGATGGACCGACGATTTCCTCCGTCTGTCAACCGGCAAACGATCATGCGCGTAATTGCCACGCCGGTATTTCCCGCACGGCGTAACGCTGAAACCGCGTAGCGTGCGAGATCGCGTGCCGAACACTCGGCGAATAAAAGAGCGAAAACGATTCCCTTCGAGAAATCGCTCCGTAAGGGGAAAAAGGAAGGGGAGAAGGGGAAGGAGTGCTCGAAGTTATCGGCGGAAATCAATTTTGTGAAAGCGGCAACCCGAGATCGACGATCGATGACTTCGAAACGAGAAATCCGCTCGCTCTTTCCATCTTTTTCCCGCTCGTTGCGATTTGTCTAATAAACACTCGCGGGACGATCCACCGGCGGCCGGGACATTTACGGCGCTTAATGTGTACGTGGCGTGTGCGATTTCCATAAGAAGAATCGCGCACACGGCCCGCGTGAGAGAGAAACCCATAATGATGTAACGGACGCCCAGTCCCCGTACCGGTAATGCACGCCCGATAAAAATTAAATTCAAGGTCGTTCCACTTTCCGCCCACTCGGAAACCACGGCAGTTCGCTCGTAATTTTTACGATGTTATCCGCGACGGTGAACGCACGCGCGCGCGCGAACGAGCGGGCGTTGAAGTGCGAGACGACGTATAAATTCGAAGCGTTCGCGCGCGTGCGAGCGAGAAGGGAAGGCTATCACACGCGATATCGTCGTCGTCGAATCTCATGCGCGAGTGTTACCAAATATAGGGACTACGTTGCGCTCGTTTTATTTAAGCGTAACCGTATAAGGGATTCCACGTGTAACATTTCATTCGCGGATATCTCTTTGCGCGCGAAAGTGCGCGCGATTTTTTCGCGACAAGTATTTCCACCGATCGCGATGCAATTTCAATTTCGGGGCGCGGAGAATTCAATGGGAAATTCAATGAGAAGTGACCGTAAAAACGATAGGCAAATAAGAGCTAACGCAGAACGTTGCTGCGAAATCTTTATTCGAGCGGGTATCAAATTGCTCGGTACACGGTGAACAGTTTCGTGTTAAATTTAACACATTTCACATGTGTCGCCGAAAGGTCCGCTCGAATTTTTGTGCTAATTTAACACAAGGTGAATATATTGAAAAGTGACACAAATAATGTTATGTCGAAAATTAACATAAAATTATAATACGTTAATCGACACTGAAGTATAAAACGTGTCATTTTTAAATTTACACACGTTGAATATCGACGCAACACAAAATTATTGAGATAATATAAACGCAATATGCTAAATTAACACACACAGGTGTGTGTTGAAAATTTAACATCAAAATTTTAACAAGGACCGTTTTTCACACAAGTACACTTTTTACTCTGTAGTTTTATGTACGTGCCATTTTGTCCGGATTTGTTACGTACGAGTGATATTGCATCGTAACTGTCATTTCCACGTAAAACATGACTTCCTTTAATCGGCAATTGATAATAATTGATATTCCATTGAATAATCTTCCTGGAACTTGTAGAAATTTATATTGTCAGTGTTGCAAAAAATGCTGCCTCAATCAGGAAGCCTGTAAATGACAGTTATTTTACCACTCGTACGTAGCAAGTCCGGAAAAACTGGCCCGACGCGTATGTGACACCGCCGAACAATTTGATCCTCTCGTTTAAATAAAAAGGTCGCATCAATATTTGCTCCTGGTTCTTATTTGCCTATCGTTCTTCCGGTCGTTTACCTCAGAGCATTCGTATCTCGATGAGAAATTCCATCTAACTCGAACGTTGCCCCTATCGAACGAAATATTTACCAAACATTTTACGCGAAAGGCCGGACGAGATCTTCGGGGCAAAGTGCGAATTCAAGATTCGCATCCGGAATGCAGAGGAGTCCGTTCGAAAAACCAAGTCACATTGGCGCGTCGGTCTTAAAATTCGAGTTCAACGAAGCGACTCAGCGCTCGAGAACCCGTCTCGTCCTTCGATCCTCTCGGCCTTCCTCCCCCTCGCGAGAGATCGATTCACGCGGTCTCGCTGGTAGCTTCCGATCCCGGCTGGTCGATCTGATCGGCTGCCATTTAATCTCAGCACGCCGCAATTGTCAGGTCCGTCGTTGCTGTGCATACACACACTCGGCGTGCCGACTCGATATGCTACTACTGTGGCCGGTTATTACGCTCCTAGAGGAAGCTGCGTCCGAGGGCGGTGCGCGCTCTCCTCTCTCTCTCTCTCTGTGGGGTAACACACCGGCACCTTCCTTCGCGAGCAACAATAGGACCCATATTGAATAAACCCACGTCCACGTAGGTCGGCCCGAGCGGCCGTGTTGCGTTATTCTGTTAACCGGCGCGCGATGGAGGGACTCCGGGCGAGGTTCAGGCCGCCGCTGGTATTGCTGGCACTGACAGCGGCCGGCGGTAGAGGTGGCACGGTACCAGCGCGACTATGCGGCGGCCCTACCTGTGCGCCGGTGTACGTGCGGCTCTTGGTGGACCTCTTACACTCCACTCAGTTCGAGCCGGGCGTCAGTGACTTCGCGTCCGCCGATCCGATCGGATCCTCTCTCTCTCCCAAGGGTGCGGAGGCGCGTCCCGCCGTAGGCCAGAATCACGCAGAAATCGCACGTACCACTCCCGGGTAAATTCATAGAGCGTTCTCTCTCTCTCTCTCTCTTTTCTCTTCGGCGAGAAATTCGGCACGTTCAATCGCCGCAATCGGTGAAAAATAACGGAGTTTCTTCGGATAGTCGCGTAGTCATCGTTGTCGTCGTTACATATCGAAATACGCCTTCGTTTGCATAGGATCCTTATATAGAGTTTCTCGCTATTAACGCGCGAGGATACTCCGGTAGAAGCACAGGTAGAAATTCCAGATCCGCCGAGTAGATTCTTTCGGGGAATTCGTTATCTCGTGCGACGGTTGCCGGCTCTACCTGCGGAGGAATTCAAAGAAGGTTCACCGCGGCGCGAGTCGCGGAATTTATACGCCTCGCATTTCTACCGTCTGGTGAAAAATAATCGCGACCGCTCGCGCTTTAATTACGGATTCGGTCGGCTCTTACGGCGTGTGAACCCTTCGAGCGCGCCTCGAGTCGCGTTTCCGCGATCGGACGCACTCGGCCGCGATGGAAGCACTTTGAGCACATATCTCGACCTATCTGTTTCAGACCACCGCGATGCGGCGCGACCTCGGCCGACAAGGTGTCTGAAGAATATCCCCGCGGGACCTCTGCCTCCTTCTCTCGTCCGCGCGGGACACGGTAGGTCCTGTTCGAGGCTACCAGGATGCAGCTCAGACCCAGTTATCAAGGCGTCTGAAGGCACCCCGCGGCCTGCACGCCGGTATAAAGCAATAAAAGCGCCCGCCACGAGAGATGTATCTCGCGAGGGCCGCGTAAGAAAACGGCGAAAGAAAGGCTGCACCGGTAAATCATAAACGCCACGGGGATCGAACCGCGGGAGATAACTGCCTTCGCGTAAGGTGAGACAGACGGGGGGAGAGAGAGAGCGCGCGTGCTCTTGCAGACAGCGAGGAGCGGCAGCAGCGGGTTCAGCTGTGCGGGGATTCATCGTTCGATCGCATCCATCGGATCCATCCATCCTCGGCGGACGCCTGGCGAACGAAAGCTCGAAAACGAAACGCAGCCCGGAAGAGGAGGCCTCGTCGTTCATCACTGGGAACAGGACATCCGGAAGATACCTCGTTGGCCGCGTGCAGAGAGGAGGCGGTCTTCATCGTTCGCCCCATCAGTGAGAATATCGTCGATGGATACTGATAGCTTCCCCGTAAGAAGATAGGCGAACGCGCGCGCGCGCGTTCCACACGCTCTTCGCCCCTCGCTCGCCGGTGGTCATCACCGGCCGATAGATCGTAATAGTTTCGCCCGTAAGAAGAAGGAGCAGAAGAAGAAGGAGAGGAGAGATGCGTCGACCAGCTGCGCTCAGCGGTGTTTACCGTCGAGGATACTATCGATAGATCGTGATAGTTTTCGCGCTACCGCCTCGGCCGGTGCGGGAAGAGGAGGAAGATAAGGGGAGGAGAGGAGGAGATGATCCGGTCGTGTGAAAAGTGTAACGCGGAAAGTGGCAGACCCGCGAGCGGATCGATCGTCCCGACAGTGCCGGCGACTCGGAACGACCGGTTCGTCGACGGTGTTTCGTGATCCCTGATCCTCACTGCGCGCCGTTGCCCGGGGCAACGGCTTAGTGGCTAGTGAACGGAGTTTCGCGTATTCTTTAACGCCGTGATCAATGAGAGCCGGCCTTAACGTCCGATCCGAATCGATTCGCGCGGGTATTTCACAGCAGTTTGACAAAGAAAATCCTCCGGGGAGCGTGAGCAAGAACCAGCCGATTTCTTAACCCTCTCGTGTGTTTTACCCGACCTTTCGCCTCCTCTCGCTCGCCCGTGGTTCATCGGGAGGGACGTTTACGCGAATAAAACTCACCGGCCTGCGGATTAATGTCGCCAGCACGTCGCCCGCGAGAGTGACGGCCGCCACGGCTGAGTGACATAATTGAAGCAAGTGCTCGCGCGGCCGAGCCCGTTATTAACCGGTAATGAGCGGGTGTCGGAAGAGGAATAAAAATGTCCTCGAAAGCAAGCGTCGGACTCGCCTCGCCGCCACGAAGATTAAATGACGCTACGCCCTCGAGCTTCTCGGCGTCGCCCTGAAGAACGGGGAGGGGACTTTCTCGTCGCTCTCGATCTCCTCGACACCTCGCGTTGCGACCCTTGCACCGTATTATCAGCCAGCCCCCCTTCCGTTTCGTACGCGCACGCGCGCCCGATGATGCGGCTACCGTTCGCGAAGTGACGCCGTACCGCGGGTAGAAGTGTGGAAGTCATGTCGTCGAACGGCGAGTTCTCGACGATGTCCAGCGAGGAGGTGCCTTCGCTGCCGAAATCCCTGCCGAGCTCGAGGGAGGCGACCGCCGAGGGTTGTTCCGGCTCCAGCGGCGGATACATGCCGCTCCGCGAGTTCCTCGACCGATTCTCCTTGCCGAGGGTGGTGAGACTCGAGGGTACCGGCGGCAGGCCGGTGCTGCTGTACAAGCAGCAACAGAGATCGCTGAGAGTCACCGCGAGCCTGTTGATACACCGGTACCGGCATGACGTCAAGGTGGGACCGGAGATCGTCATCCCGGAGGGTTATCCAGGTGAGTCTCTAAATCCCCCCTCGACCGTACGACGCGTAACGAATTTCATCGCGCGGAGTCCAGGAAATTGCGACGGAGGAAAGCGGAGTAATCGCCGGGACTCTTGTTCGCGTCTTCAATTTACAAGCCGCCGGCGTCCCGGCGCAAAAAGAAAAGAACGATTCCTCGCGATGCGTTCGCGGGGCCGGTCGAAAAGAAATGATATCGAGAATCGTGTGTATATATATATATATATATATATATATATATATATATATATATACTCTGGAACGACATCCGCGTTTCAGAGGGACATCTTAATCTTCCAGACGTCCTCTAGACGTCTTTCAGACGTCTCACGGTCTTTAAATGTTATTTGAGCTGTTATTGAGCTGCGCGACGCAACGTCTCTTTTAATGGCCCCAGTCCGCGATAGACGACAGCGCGGAGCACGTAAATTATGCTCGGTAGAGCGAACGGTAACGGTTGTGGAGATCATCCGGCTGGAATCATCGGAACAGGTTATAGACTCCATCGAGATCGCGAGCGCCTTCGGACTCGCGTGGACTCGCGAGTCCGGAGGAGGCTTCGAGAAAAATGATAATGCCCCGAGAGAGCGAGAGACGGGGAGAACGGAGAGGAGACGTGAGGGAGAAGCCGTCGGTCATACGATTAACGTCCCGCGTCGTTCTTTTTCGTTTCAATCGTAAACCACTTTGTGGCGAAGTAAGTCGCGAAACTCGCCGCGCGACCGCGCGCACGACGGAGGCCGCCGCCCCTGCGCGCGCTATCTCGCGCGGCTTATATTGGTTTTCTGACATCAGAAATGGAAATTACGAGGCAATAAAGCGCGGTAATGCGGACCTATTAGATCGAATGGGCGAGAGTAAAGTAGGGAATGTTTAGGCTCGGGGTGGCTCTGCGGGCCCCCCGAAGAAGAGAAAACCATCAGCTAACGACGCCCGGTTCTTTCGCGCCCGCGAGAAGCCGTCCAATATATCGGCATTTCTCCCCCCCCCCCCCCNCCTATCTGTCCGTCTATCTGCGCGCTTCGTTCTCTTTATTCCGTCAGCCTGCCTCCCCTTCGTCCCCGTACTCGTCTCTCCTTCGTCCCGGACGCGAGGCGTGCAATTGGCGTTACGCGCGCGACAGTGTCGCGCCAAACTGCCGCTAACTGCCTCTAATAAACGCACTTCGTATTTTAATGAAAATGTCGTTAGTGAGAGACGATGCGTGGCTGTTATGAGTCAGACACGTTAAGTGGCCGAGTGCGAGCGGTCGGATCGGAACGACGAGGACGGCTGAACGAGCGGCGCGCACGCCGTTTTACCTGCCGTCTCTCCTCTTTCTCTCTCGCGTCAATGAGCGGCGGCGCGAGGCGATTACGCCGCAGCCTGATTACAAGGCTCTCTGACGAATCGAGGTTCCGGAACAGGTACGGCGGATTGACGTCAGAATTATTGAATTTTTCGTCACGTCGCCGATTCATGGGAGAAAAATGCCACCTATCGCGCGCGCGAAAGCGAGATCGGTTGTTTCGCGCGAAGCGCACTGGTGACTCACGATTCGGGCGAGAGGTCGAGGTGTGTTGGCAATCAATCCTCTGGTCTTCGCCAACCGAATTCCACGGCAACGTTGAAGCGGCTCGAGAGATGACTGGCGCGATGTTCCTCCCGACAGAGGCGGATGGATGGAAGAGGGAGAAAAAGGAGGGGAAATTCCGCGGTTTTCAGCCGATCGGTGTATCACCGAGCGCGCGAATGAGTTAAAAGGCGGACGATCTCTCTTATCACGTTCGCTTCTCGAGATGAGGGGTATTGGGTCGCTTGTACGTTTCACGAAGAAAACGGGGAAAACGGGACGGAGCTCGCGCGGATACGAGGCTCCGCGTCGTAAATCGGCACTTCGGGCGGGCGGATCGGCGGAGTACTAACAATAAATTGAGCGGGCGAACGTTACCTCACGCCCACAAATTCGCCACGTAACGTAACTCACGCGGAATAGCGCGCACAGCTGATGGTTTATCGCGAGGGGAAGAGAGACCGAGAGAGAGAGAGAAGAAAATAGCGGAATAGAAAAAACGCGGCTCTCTATCGCCGCGACGGTGGCGGCGGTGCGACGAATTGGTTCCGCGTTAAACGCTTGGGCGCTCCTCGAGGCACGAGGCGGCCCGTTCTTCCCCTCGGCGGCGATAAAGAAGCGTCCGTGGACGTTTACTATTTCGAGCGCTCGCGCAAAAAGTAATAGACGCGCGTGCTGATCAAATAGCGGACCACGCGGAGCGAATGAGAAGTCACGCGGCGTTATCGCCCTTACGTTCGCCTCTGCGACGCCAGTTCGCGACGGGTGGATACGACGACGCGGAGGAAACGCGAATCCCCTTCGGCTTGAAAGCGACTATTCCGGGCGAGAAACGCGGGGATGATTGCTTTTCCTCATGGCGGCTGCGTTTTATGCACGACCGGATCGGGGGGACGAAGAGGACTCGGGATTGCCGCCTCGGTTTGTCCGCCGGCCCGGAAATCGGCAAGGGCTCTTTGAAAAATGGATGGGGCTGGGTTAATAATAATAATATTACGCACCAAACTGGAAATATATTTCGTTTATTATTATCAAGGCATTACATATGTTTTGCACTTTGCCTGTTGTACCGTCAAAATGTATCCGCGATTCATCTTCTGACGAAATCCAAACTTCTACAGTTACTTCTTTACTTTAAAAGTATATTTAGTATTGCTTATGGCGTTTCTCAATAATGTGTTCTGCTCTGAGTTCATGATATATTTGTAAAAGTCTTTGCACTACATATCGTAACTTATTTTTGCGCAAATTTCGGCTTTTACTGATTTCACTTGTAGGCGCTCTTTCGTCCGTCCGTTCCGCGCGTTATTTATTATTGAAAACATTCCTCCTGTATAACTATTATTTACCGAGATTGTTAGAATACATTGCATTATTTTCTGTAACTTACTCAATTAATTTTACCGCATTGGCTTTGGGAAATTTCGGGCGAAAATCGGAGAGGTGGCGATCCTTTCCGAGAGTCCTTGGCGAGAAACGCCTGGGATTTTCGCGAAATTCTCAGATGTGCTCGGAGTGCTGCGAGTGATGATTCGTCGGCCGAATTCTGGTCGACGCGATAGATTTTCCTGCCGATCGGACGAGAAAAGAGACTATATCGCCATCCTTTGTCTCTCTCTCTCTCTTTCTCTACCTGTTCATTTCCGGCGGCTACTTTTCCCCCTGCGTGGAATTTCGAGCGGCGCGGCCTCGCCTCGCGAGGCACGATTCCGTACGAACACTTTCGTCATCCGACTGATCCCATTTGTCCGGCGAGGCGCACGTGCGCGAAATGCACGATCGTCCGGTTGCCGTCGAGGGGGACGATTGAAGCAGCCGTCCGAACTGCGATCGGAAAGCGAGAGAAGGAGCTCCCCTCGTGATCGGCCGGTCGATCCGTGTGGGGCTATTGCGCGAAACCGCGACGTAATTTCGTCGTCGGTGTGATGCAACGCAGCGCAACGCCGCTCGATTTCCGCCCGTCGAGCGCGCGGACGTCGCGAGAAAACGAGATTCGCGACATTAATGAGCTCCTCGATGGAAATTCAGCGTATTTACCTCTCTTTCATTTTCCAACGCGACGCACGTTACTGCTGCGTTGCGAAATCGTGACGAAATCATTTCCACGGTGCGATTGCTTTTCACCCTTCTCCAAGCTCGCTGCGCTCGCAGCCTTGGGGTTGTTGCGTATCGCTATTCACCGCGGTATTTTTCCGCCTCCGTGTTGATTTACCAATTACTCCAAAGATCCCTTTCTGAACGAACACAGAGTTGCATCGCGCCACCGGCGATTCCGAGCGAGCGAGTCTCGCGCGGCCCGAGAACGGAGAAATGTTAACTCAATATGCCGGACAGTCGGTATCAAGCTGATTAAGCACACATCGCGATCCTGCGCGCGCCTACATCGCATCACTCGCAATTTTCCTCGCGGCGGAGATGCGGCGGGGCAAAAAGGGCCCGCGCGGCCTGGAGCGCCTTTCGTTGAGGGAGAACCATAAGTTGCAGCCAGTTGTATCATGGGTATGCATTCGTGGCCGCTATACATCATCGTAATCAGCTTACCCGCTGCTGAGCGAGTAAAAAGCGCGCCGAGAGGCGCGCATCGGCCGCGTATTTTTCGCCGCTCGCGCGCCCAGCGCAGCGCAACGCGCGCTTTCGCGAGGGGTCGCGCGATGACCGCGGGGGACGAAATGAAGACATTCGCGCGCGGTGGATAAGAAGCGCGTTACGGAGCCTGCGTGTAATGTGTCTCGGGATCAAAGTGCGTGAAGCGCGGCCGCGAGAAATATCCCCTCGGCTTAATTCCATCGTCGAATGCCGCGCGAGGTCACGCCTGTCCCTGAAATCCGGCGTATTAATTCAAACCACCGCCGTGTCTTTTCACCTTCGCGCGATTAACGAGCGAACCTCGTTTCTCCGCGCCGGTCGAGTCTGCGTTTCGGCCGATGAACATTGAAATGTCGAAAGTTCTCGACGGATTTGCCCGTATTGAAATATATCGGCAACACGTACGATGATAATTGACGCGACGGAAGGGGTTCTTTATCGATCCACCCAATCTCTTTCCTCGATTCGCGAATCGCCTCAGCCCCGACCTCGCGCGAACAAAGAAGGCGTAGAAGACGATGCCACTGGGAGCGCGCGCGCGTTCAGGGCGGCGGCTCGTCGTCCGCGAATCGCCCGGCGAAACGGAATCTCGTCGGAGGCGCGCAACTTGAACCTTCAACCGGGATAAAATTACTAGGGGAAGATTCAGCCGCGCATCCGATTCCAGAGACTGATAGGGACGATGGACGATATCGCACAAATCACCGGCCGCGGCTTAACTGCTATTCGTGCGAACCACGAGGGCCGGCGACTCGGCCGGGCTCCAGTTTACAGTAATTTATTAGGCGTGTAAACCTCGAGAGAAAGAAAAGAGAGAAAGACTCCGGTCGGTTGCGCGAGGTCGACGTCCTCGT